AGGCAGGCAGCGTAGGCCATGGCATGGGCGATGTAGTGCTGCTCCTGCACCCCGTGGAAGAGGTGGCCCATGGGGCCCTGGGCCAGCACCACCACGTCTTCCCCACTGTGAGTCTCTGTCTCCAGGGGCACAGCTGCCTGCTGTCTGTAGTCCTTGTCCTCTGCAGGGGGAAGGGGAGAAGTGAGACTGTGGGTCTGGATCCCTGACATGTCACAGGGATGGGGGCACATCTCCCATCACTTCTGCATCAGCATGATTTCTGCAGTGAGGTGACTCCTTAGCCTCACAGTGACATCAGGACCCTTTGTGGCATTCATGGCCATTCCAGCTGGACACTGTCCGCAGCCACCCTGTGCCTTCATCCAGTCCCCAGCAGACTCACTGGGAATCTGTCCCCAGCCACCCCATAGCTCTGCCACATCCAAGCAGACTGGTACCTGCAGCAGGGAGGCTGGCAGCTGGACGGGCCCCATCACGGATGCTGTAGCCAGGACCATTGCCATAGAGAATGCTGGTGTAGGCTCCCTTGTCCTTGGCTTTCTTGGGGGCCAGCCCTGGCACAGGGAAAGACATTGTCACCCTCTGGGTACCCCTCCCCAACTCCCTGTCTGGCAAGCTCAGCCTCCCGTGGTAGCAGCAGGGTGAGGTGGTAAGACGGATGCTCACTGCCCCTCTCCAGGACCCACCAAAGATGGAATTGCCACGTGGTGTGCTGCCCCCGAAAGTGAAGACATGGGAGTGATCGGCCGTCACCACGGTCAGCGTGTCAGCAGGGGAGGTGAGCTCTCCCGCCCGTGCCACCGCCCGGTCCAGCATCACGGCCTCCATCAGCGCCTGCTTGGCCCGGCCACTGTGGTGGCCATGGTCGATTCTGCCACCTGCAAGAGGAATGTGGCTGTCACCCTTTTCCGGGTCCCCTTGGATAGCCACCTGCTCCTGGGACCCACATCCCACCTCAGCCCCAGCCACACTGCCCGCCTGGAGCTACTCATCTTCCACAAAGAGAAAGAAGCCATTGGGGTTCCTGCGCAGGATGCGGACGGCCTTTTCCGTCATCTCCACGATGGAGGGGTCTGTGGATGTGTTGCGGTTCAGCTCATACTTCATATCCTTGGGCTCAAAGAGGCCTGGGGGAGGAGGGTAAGGGGGTCCGTGATGGGGCTGCTTTGTGCCCCTGCTGACATATCCAGAGTGGGGAGGAGGAAGCATTGCCATTGGGGCAGCCAGTGATGCTCCTACCCATAAGGTGGCTGACAGAGTCATCTTTAACCGCATCCAGGCCCTTCTTATCCCAGACATAGCGGGCACCCTGCCAGTGAGAGCAGAACCAGTGCCAATGGCACACACCCTGTGCCCAGAGTTTCATCTCCTCTTCCCCTGCACAATACCTGCTTGGCACTCAGCCACTCAGCAATCAAGTCCCGGCCATCCTTCCTGGTGCCATTTTGATCTGGGTCCTCTGGGTACTCAGGGTCCGGAGTCTGCTTGGGGGTCATGTACATCCTCCCGCCGCCCAGGATCACCTGCCAGGGAGCTCAGCAGACCCTCCCAGTGTTCCTGGTGCCCCCTCCCTCCCGCTCCCGCTCCCCAGCTCACGTTGATGTCAGTGTTGTGCACCAGCTGGTAGGCGATGTCCTTGCAGCCGTCCCGCAGGGCCTCCTTGGGCATGTTGGCGTCAGCGTACCAGCTCCGGCTGGCCGAGTGCGCATAGGCTGCCCCGGGGGACGCATGCTGCACCCGCGTGGTCGTCACGATGCCCACGGACTTGCCTGCAGCATGGGCAAGGGTTTACAGGGAGTCCATCCAGCCCTGCACGGCACTGGATGGCTGTCCCCGGCTTTCCAACAGGGTTTCCTGCTGCCCCGTACCCGCCAGCCTGGCCCGGTGCAGGACAGAATCCACCTCATTGCCGAAGGTGGTGCGGCATTTTCCATAGACGGCTGCCCCGCTCAGTCCCAGAGTCTTGGCGTTGGCCTTCACCCCACAGAGGTAGGCGGTGCCCGTGCCAGCGCTGTCGGGCACCTGCCGGTCGATGGTGTAGGTCTGGAAGCGAGAGGGGTGCAGTGGGGTTTCAAGCAGGGGCAGCAGGAGTGTCCCCCCAGCCCTGTCCTTCTCACCTTGGCCAGGGCCACGTGGGGAAAGGTCTCCATTGCCAAGACGCTCTCCTCGCCGGAGCTGCCTGCCAGCTGCCCCTTGTAGATCCGAGCTGCTGACACGGTGGACAGCCCCATGCCTGTGGCCACATCCGAGTCACTGGGTGGCAGGGGCCTGGACCAGGCACAGCCCTGCCATCCCTGTCTTCAGACACTGCCCAAGGACTTGCCCTAGCCCCATCTTCTTATCAGCCACATCCCCTGGCTGTTGGGGAGCTGCAGGGCTTGGCAGTGACCTGGGGCACTCACCGTCACCCATGAAGAGGATGATGTTTTTGGCCCGCTGTGCTCCTGGCTGTAAGGCTAGGGCCAACTCCAGCCTCCTCCTGGCACCTTTATTCCAGTAGCCTGGGGTCTTCTCAGCATCTGGAGTGTGAGCAGAGCTGGGAATTTCTAGGTGCACTCCAGCATGCCCATCTCTACCCAAGGTGAATTTAGCTGCTATAAACCCCTGGAAACCAGCATGGTCTTTTGCAGACCAGCATCATTCAGAAACCACCTGTAGAAGGGAAACTGAGGCATAGTTTGTCAGGGAAGTCCCTCGTGCCTCTTGACAGAGTGGATGAGGAGCCTGAGGATCAGCCACAGCGAGTGTGCAATGGCTGGGTAACCACGGCTGGCTGTGGCTCTTGGGCCACTTTATCCAAAGTCAGGAATGGGGGTTGGGAGCAGCAGGGACTGGGGCGGGGGGGCAGGAACTGCTCTGGGGGGAAGCTGAGACAATCCATTCAAAGCTTGTGGTCTCAGAGCACCCTGAGGTAGCTGTGAGGGTTCCCATTTGCTGGCATCCCAAGGGGAGGTGACATGGTCCCTGGAGTTCCCCAAGGAAGTGACACCAGCCCAAGCATCCCCCACCAGAGGTTCTTACCCCACTGTCCCACACGTCCCCTGTCACCAGAGGCTGCAGTGGCAAGCTGAGTGAGGAAGCAGAGGAGAAGGCAGGTTCCAGGGGAAAGCAGGCGCTCCATGTTGCCCACCCCAGCTCCCTCCTGGAATGCTGCCTTAGCCCAGGCTGAGGGGACAGCCCTTTATGGCTCTTCCCTGTCCCGTGAGACGATGGGCTGATAACATTCACGGACTATCTCCCAGCCCTCCCAAGGCCTTCGCCCCACCCTGGGGCCATCCCTGCCCCCAGCAGCAAGGCAGGACCGCCAGCCTGTCCCTGAGAACCAGGGCACCTCTGGGCCCCAGCTCCCAAAGGGGCGGCTGCCTGCGGACCCCGGGGGTGGGAGGGACAGTGCAGGGCAAAGGCTTGTTTTTGCAGACAGGCTGAGCTGGGCCAGGCTGGATTTGTCTGGTTTCTCCTGAGACAAACCCCAAGAGGGGGACACTGGGCTGAGGGGTAGGGGGTGGACATCTTGGCTTTGGTGTCAGCGTCCTCCGGTCCCCTCTCCCAGCAGAGTCACACGCTACCTATCAGCTCCTGGGACAGCTGGTGCCTGACATACGGGGTGCCCTGGGGCAGCCCATGCCAGCACACCTGCACAGCGGGGTACCTGCTGTGGGCAGGGAACAGCCTCTGCCACCAGCATCAGATGGCATCCACCCATGATTGCACCAGGCCATCTGGTAGGACGCTGCACAAATACTGGGGACTACAGGTGTCATTGATGGCTTCATCAGCTCCTAGGAGTGTGCTGTACCAGCCCTGATCCCCCATCCTGACCCAGGCAGTCGAGGCTTGGCAGCTCCTGGCTCCTGCAGATGGCTGATGTGCTGGTGCTGGTGCCAGCCACAGCTGCTACTACTGATGGGGCAGTGATGCAGGGCTCCCTCTCTGCCTGGCACAATGGATCCATTCCTGACCAGATGTCAATCCCTTCACCAGCCACCACTTGTGATGATGACATGGAGGCTGCCAGAGTAGCCCACACCCCCGACACATCCTCAGAGGGGGACATGGGGACAGAGAGCAGGCAGAGGTGGCTGCAGATGGCAGGGGTCAGTTGGTCAGTGAGGTGGATGCAAGGACATGGTGCCATAGGGTCCCTGAGCAGAGTTAGGCTGGAGGCCATGGTGTGAAGGACTAGAGCAGACATACAGGAATTCCTGGTGAAGTCAGAGGGACTAAGGGGATACCTGCTGGATCAGGAGCTGGGAACACCTGCCCTGATCTCACATCTTCTGGCCAAGCATATCTGATGCTGGGACAGGCAGTGAGGCCAGATTTCTTAATGCCTGGGAAGTGGCAGGCAGAGAAAGGCAGAGGACTCCCCAGAGATGAGTTACTGCTGGGATCCCCCAGTTGGGGGAACATAGAGGACATAAAATAAAACCTGCATGAGCTCCACACACAGTTGCTGACCCAGCTTTTATTACATGACACACAACGCTGCAAGAAACCCTCCTGCATGGCCCCATGGCTGCATCCCACTGCATCCACATCCCACCTGGGATGGTGGAGCCCGCCCCTCTCTGCTCCTGGGGACACATATCCCCTCTCAGCCCTCACCACAGGCACTGAAGCTGCAGATGGACACCACAGCCTTAAAAAAAACATTAAGAAAGCATCATGCTAAAAATACCCAAGAGTAGAAATTTTCTGCCTGGGGCAGGCTCAAGTCCTGAGCCCTGCTCGCAGGCGGAGTTAAAATCCAAACCAGAAATAAAACCACAATGGTTTTAAAACTCAAATCCCCAAAGTCCTTGTGGGTCCCTTCTGTCTCCAGCAGGTGCCGGAGCAGGGCCTGGGAGGCGAGGGAGCATCAGCAGTGGGGAGCACACAGAGCCAGGGCTCTCACTTGTCCAAGCTTGGCCTCTTGAGCAGGGCACTGTACTTGAGGGGGCCACCATCTGCTGTCAGCACCACCTCCACCAGCGTGAAAATGGTGATCACCTTCATCAAGGGAGAGAAAGAGAGAAAAAAGGGTTTTCAGGCAGGTTGGAATCACATCAAGATTTGTTTAAAGCTGTGTTGGCTTTTGCTGACTCCCTCAGTGCACCCATGAGGAACCAAGGAATAGAGCAGGATGGACTCAGATAGCTCTTCTGGGGTCCAGGGTGTTCCTAGGGCTGGAGGCAGCATCCTCAATGGCAACACATGAACTCTGACACCAACCAGGACACCCAAACCAACCTGAATGAGCCTCCCAAAACATCCTCACTTATCTCAGTTTGATCAGGCCCCTCTCTTGCTCTCCACACAGTCTGGGAAGAATTGTGGGCATTTGTGCCCTTGGCTTTGGTTCCAATCTCCCTGCAAGGCCACCTGTGCCTCTCCAGCCGCAGAACCACGTCATCCCTTAATGGAGCTTGGCCAAGAGCCAAGGCTGAGCTGCAGTGAGAAGGGTTTTCCACATGACGCTGAGCATTTCATCAGCATCCCACAAGGAGGGAACAATCTGCCTGTGCTCCCAGAGGAGAGGAGACCCAGGAAGGGAGTACAATAGATAAGGGAGATGCAAGGGAATGAAGACCCCAGAAAATCAATCCCTCATGTTCAGGAACTGTGCTGCTGCTGCCATCTCCCTGCTCCTCTGACCCCAGCTCTTCCTGTGATTGTATGGATTAGAAGTGGAAAGTATTGATTTGGTTTGTCCTTGAGGCACAGTTAAGAGGCTGGCTGGGACATTGGAAAGGGCTGTCCTGGGGTCCTGCTCCTGGCTGGAGCCTGTAGCAGGGTTCACTGGGGTCATCTATTCAGGGCTGGTCCCAGGAGAAGCAGGCTCAGAGCTACTGGTGTAACTTTGTCCAACCCTTCCCAGCTCATCCAGTACTGGCTGCTCCAGATTAATAATTCAGAACAGGAAAATCTCATTGAGACTTAAATGTACCAAGGTGGCCAGTGAGGAGCAACCTGCAGGAAAATCCTATCACAACTGGCTGCCAGAGAGCTGTGGGCTACTGAGCATCAGCCCCTGCCTGCCCAGTGCAGGGGGTGGTGTTCATGGGAAAGCCCCCCACATATGGGGGAGTCAAAGGGGAGTATCAGGATTCTTCCTTGCACTTCTGCTTTATCCCTTTGGTGAACTGCTGTGAAATAGCACAATTTCACACCAAATGCTCTGAGTCTCAGATCCACTTTTTACTCCACCCCTGAGTGATGTCCACTGAGGCCCTGGTCATGTCCTGGAGACCAGAGAGAAATGGGGGCAACACCTGCCCTCTGTGACAGGGCCAAACAAACAGCTCAGACCCCAACACACCTTCTCACTAACAGCCTTCCCTGACACTCCCACTGCCTGGACAGGCTCAGCTAAAACAGGAAGAGGTTTAGAGACCAAGGGCTGGGGCCAGCTGGGGAGCTGGGGTGCTTGGTGCTGTGGGGTGTCCAGGTGACATGTACCAGAGTTCAGCGTGACTCACAGGAATCTGGCTCATCTCAGGGCTGGAGATTTATAAACTCAGGGATATGCTGGCTTGGAGGACAGCTCAGAGCCTGATCCTATGGGAGAGCTCCAGTGTTTTCTTAGGAGGTGTGGAAGATTTGTGGAGGAGTTTCCTCTACCAGCTGTTTGCTTAACCAAAATGGGCCCTGCTCATGCTGGGGCATAATTTTTCATCAGTTTCCTGCTAGGATGTAAGTGATCCCTGCTCCTGTAGGAAAGGGGGAACTGAGGCCACTCCAAGCTGCATCCATGGGGCTTCTCTGAGCCAAGCTGAGAAAGCTCAGCTTCAAAGGGAGGGAGCCTGCAGAAATGTTTTCAGAGCCAGCTCCAACTCTGATCACAACATCCACCCTGGGAAGGGAAGGACTCTCCAGCACACACATCACCCCAGCTGGGAGGGTCAGCCCACTCTGTGTCAGGAAACCCGAGTGGGCAAGGATGGGATGTGCTGGGCTTGGATGCAATTGGGGCTCAAGTGCAGAGTCCCTGGAGTGGTGCAGGGAGAGGCTGGGATTCAGTCCTTCAGGCAGGGATCACAGCAGTCAACACAGCTGGGGTTTTACAGCCATGCCAGACAAAAGCTGGCAAAGAAGCACCACTTAATCAAGCCAGACAAATGTGATTGCTCCCTTTGATTGAGTTACCAAGTTAATAGATGACAGGGACACAAGAGAGAGATTTCTACATGCAGTTAAGCCATTTGAGACTGCATCTCAGGAAGTCTGATTAAACAAAAAAATTCTCCTAATTGAGGCTCAACCCTGAGGCTCATCCCATCAACAGGGATGGAAACCCCAAGAAAAAGCCATGCCAGGGGCAAAGAGTGTGGGGATGGGGGGAAGGGTCTAGACAGGAGCTGCCTTAAGCCTGATCTTAACATCTTAATTGATGATCTGGAAGAAGGAAGTAAACAGCATGTTAATTCAATTGCTAGAAAAGGCTGAATGGGGAGGCAGGGCACACAGCAGGCAGGGCAGAGACTGAAGGCTGTGGAGGGGTCACGTTGTGAGGGCAGTGATAGGACTGGACTGGATGGCAGAGGAGGCTGAGGTTGAAGTTGGGCTCTCTGGGAAAGGGACACAGAGGGATAGCAGGACTTGATAACCCTGCAAATCTTGCCTCCCGATCAATCCCTGCAAACATCACAGGATCCACATGTTGCCCACAGCCAGCCCCATGGTGTGAGTTTGTCCCATGCTGTGGAGGTCTTACCTGGGGTACAGATTCCTCCTCCAGCTCCTCTGGTTCCCACAGGAGTGTCAGCTCTGGCTTCTTCCCCACCTTCTGGAAGCGGAAGTCCACCAAGGGCAGCGCCTGCAGGCAGGGAGAGTGTTGGGAACATGCCCCCCTCCACCTCTCCTGTGGATGGGGCTGAGGCTGCTTCTGCCCAGCACGCTGCCTCTGCAGCTCTTCAACAACTGGGATGCAGCAGCCCATGAGCCTGAGCCTAGCACGTAAATCAGGGGCTGCTGCCATACACCACCAGCCCATATATCACGCTCTATGTCCTGTTTAAAGATGTCATTGCCAGACATATAACCAGGTTATTAAGAGAGGATGCTGTCACCAAGTGCAGGTGCTGGCCCACAGCACTGCTGTCACAGCCCCAGATAAACCATCTGATTAAATGAAATGAAAAA